ATTCTTAAAAATTTTCAACTAAACTAACCTAACTAACTCCTAATCTTATAAATTATCTTCAATAATACTAATATAATCTTAATAAAAGCTAACCTGGGATTTCGAATTTGACAGTTGTCACAGTCTCCCCTTGTTAGAGAAATTTCGTCCTAAAATTTACTTGCTCATATCAACTCAAAACTTGTTAAGGAAGAGATGTGGGTAGTTGCTTCTCAGGAAATATTCTCTTTCCCATGTGTATTCCGGTCCATGACGCGATGCCCAATGAACTTTTACAATCGGGATTTGTTTGTGCCTCAACTTCATAACCTTACGATCGAGAATTTCGATCGGCTCCTCTATAAAACATGGTCGTTCATTAACTTGAATATCTTCCAGAGGTAGAACTAAAGACTCGTCGGCTAAGCACTTCTTAAGATTTGACACATGAAACGTGTCATGAATGGCACTAAGCTTCGGAGGTAAACTAAGCTTGTATGCAACTGGTCCTACTCTTTCGAATATTTCGAATGAGCCGATATACCTTGGACTAAGCTTTCCTTTCTTTCCAAAGCGTACAACTCCTTTCCATGGTGATACTTTTAGAAGAACTTTATCACCCACTTGAAATTCTAAGGGTTTCTTTCGGTTATCTGCATAGCTTTTCTGGCGATCTCTGGCCGCTTTTAACCTTTCTTGATTTGTCTTGATCTTGTCTGTTGTCTCCTAAACAATGTCTGGCCTAATTAATTGACTATCACCAACTTCCAACCAATTGAGTGGTGATCTACACTTGCGTCCGTAAAGGGCTTCATACGGCGCGCACTGTATACTCGTATGATAGCTGTTGTTGTAGGAAAATTCAACCAGCGGTAGGTGATCATCCCAGCTACTTCCGAATTCTATCACACAAGCACGCAACATATCCTCTAATGTCTGAATAGTCCTTTCCGTTTGCCCATCGGTTTGAGGATGATATGAAGTACTTAAATATATCCTTGTGCCCATCGCTTTTTGAAGTGATTTCCAGAATCGCGAGGTAAAACGGCTATCTCTGTCTGAAATGATTGAAACAGGTACTCCATGACGCATAACGATCTCGTTGACATACAGTTGTGCGAGTCTTTCTAAGTTGAAATCTTTTCGAATAGGTAGAAAATGTGCGGATTTCGTGAGTCGATCCACAATTACCCAAATCGAGTCATGCCCCTTTTTGGTTCTGGGTAATTTGGTCATGAAGTCCATCGAGATCTGCTCCCACTTCCATTCTGGGATTTCCAGTTGCTGTAGGAGACCGGATGGTTTCTGGTGTTCCGCCTTGACTCTCGCACAAGTCAAACATTTACTGACATATAGGGCCACATCTTTCTTCATTCCTGGCCACCAGTAGTGCTCTTTTAATCCTTTGTACATTTTATCCGTTCCTGGGTGGATTGAGTACCTCGATTGGTGTGCTTCGTCCATGATTGTCGATCTCAGATGGTCGACCTTTGGAATCCATACTCTATCTTTAAAGTAGCGTATCCCATCTGATCGTACTTCAAACTTTTTCTCTACTTGATGTAGGGTGTCGTCCTTCATATTTTCTGCCTTCAGAGCTTCTTTTTGGGCTTCGAGAATCCGAGCCTTTAATCTTGTCTATACCAACATTCACATAGCTCGTGCTCTCGATGGCTTCACTCTTTCATTCCTGCTCAGAGCATCTGCTACAACGTTAGCCTTTCCTGGGTGGTACTTTATTTCACAATC